TCACTGTCTCACTCTTCCACCTGTTCTGCTCCCCACTCTGTCTCTGGTGAATCCTCTCACCCCCTGCATCTATGGCTTGTACTCCAGTTCTGTATGCATAAATAAATAAATCTTTTTTAAATAAAAAGATGCTCAGCAAATGCTCATTTTTTAAAAAAGTAGCATTTCAATTAAATACAATTTACTATCCTGGATTGAATCCTTGTTTATAGAAAATAAACACTGAAAAATTAAAGACCAATGGACCTACTATCTGTAACAATTTCTCAAGTTACTAACATATATGCATACAAGTATATATATGTGAGAATGGTAAGGCAATTAGGATGAATGTTAACAACTGGGAATCTGCAATATAATTCCAATAAAATTCTCAATGGCATTCTTCAAATAAATAGAACAAATATAGCTGAAATTCACAAAAACCTCAAATAGCCAAAGATCTCCTGAAAAAAAAAGAGGAAGAATGTAGGTATTACACTCCAAGACTTCAAACTATACTATAAAAATATAATAACTAAAATAGCATGGTACTGGAACAAAAACAGACTCAAAGACCAATGGAATCAAATTGAAAATCCAGCCATAAAGTCACACATATATGGCCAACTAATCTGTGACAAAGGAGCAAAGAATACACACTGTAACAAGAGCATTCTCTTCAATGAAATGTGATGAGAAAACTGGAGGCAAAAAAATGAACTACTCTACTACTTCACACCATACACAAAGACCAACTTAAATGGATAAAACACCTGAATGCAAGACCTAAAGCCATAAAATATAGAGAAAAAAAAAGGCAAAACATTTCAAAATATGCATCTCAGAAACATCTCAAAGACTAATACCAAAAACAAAATAAAAGATAAACAGCTGAACAATATCAAACTAAAAAGCTTCTGTACATCAAAAGAGACAATAACCAAAAAGGAAGAAAATATATGCACTATATACAACTGACAAGGGACTTATCAAAGATCTACCAAGAAATTACACAACTCAATAAAAACAAAATAAACAACCCAGTCAAAAATTGGGTACAAGAGCTAAAAAGACACTCTTTTTTTTTTTTCCTAATAGGAAATGCTGTTGGCTAACAGCATATAAAAAATGTTCAACATTATTATAACCAGGGAAATGTAAATCAAAACCACAATGAGATGCCACCAATATGAATGGCCAGTATTAGAAAAGTGTCTTTTTAGTTTTTCTACACATTTTTTGTCTAGGTTGTTTATTTTGTTTTTGTTGAGCTTCATTGGCTCTCTTAGATCTTTTTGATCAGTCCTTTGTCATTAGTATTATGCATAATTTTTTTTTCCTTATCAGTGGGGCATTTGCTTTTGTTTTACTTTTTGTTTTTGTTTTTACTAATGTCTCTTTTGCTGTACAGAAACTTTTAATTTTTTTTAAAGATTTATTTATTTATTCATACAGACCTGGAATACAGGCCAGAGATGTGGAGGGTTAGACGATTCACCAGAGACAGAGTGGGGAGCAGAACAGGCAGATTGATGAAGTATACTGCTGAGGGGAGCAGTGGGCGGGTCAGGAGAGGTCTGCCTCACCATATGGATCTCCTCCTCCTTCGAACTCATGCGGAAGTGGCTTTAGCTTCTTAGTGCTGTGTTTTAACCCACTGCGCCACCAGAGAGGGCCCCAGAAGCTCTTTAATTTAATGTACTCCCAGTTGTTTTTATCCTTTCCTTCTTTTTCTTTTCTTTAGGTGATGTGCTTTAAAGTTGTTATTGATACATATGTCATGTAGTGTTTTGCCTATAGTTTCTTCTATATATTTTATAGTTTCAAGTCTTGCATGCCAATGTTTATTGCACCACAATTTACAATAGGTAAGCTATGGAAGCAACCCAGATGCCCAAAAATAGATGACTGGATCAAGAAGACATGGTATATTTACCCAATGGAATGTTACTTGGCAACAAAAAAGGATAAACTCATGCCCTTCACAGCAACATGGATGGAGCTGGAAGGGATGATGCTCAGAGAAATAAGCCTCATTTGTAAGAAGAATGTAGCAAAAAAAAAAAAAAATGAATCAGAGGGGGGAAAAGTAGCTATAATAAAGTAAAAATCAAAATCATCAGGCAACTATAGATCATAGACATTCTGTAGGGGAAGAGGAGAGAAAAGGACCAAGAAAGGGGTAGGTAGAACACAAAGGACTACGGTGATAATTCATAGGTGAATTGGTGGTGGGAATTTCACACATTGTACAAAAATGAAGGATGATATAATGAGTACATTTTTTAAAAATTTGAAAGCTAAAAAAAATGGCCCATATTAAAAAAAAAAAAAATACTGACAACAAATGCTGGCGAGAATGTGGAGAAAAAGGAACCCTCTTATCTTGCTAGTCCAACCACTCTACAAACATTTCCAACCACTATAGAAAGCTGTGTGAAGGACTCTCAAAATAGTAAAAGTAAATCTATCATACCCAACTACGCCATTCCTAGAGCTGCTACCAAAAGGACAAAGATATTAATTCAAAAGGAAACCTGTACTCCTATGTTTACTTCAGTATGAGTTACAATAGGTAAATGTGGAAACAACTTAAATACCTAAACACAAATGACTGGATCAAGAAGACATGGTCATTTGCACAAAGATGCCAATTCCAGCAACACAGATAGAGCTTGAAGGAAGAGCAGTGAAGTATGTCAGAAGGATAAAGAAAACTATCAAATGGTTTCACTTATAGGAAGAATCAGGAGTACCAAACAAGGTGTAAGATCAAAAAGACAAAACTATTAAGCAAACTATAAATCTGAGACATACGGGTAGAGAGAAGGGTGAAACAGGAAAAAGAAGAACACAAGAGACAGTGGTGACGGTTCACAGGTGATTTGATGGGAATTTTACAGAGACTACACCTGAGGAAAGAGATCAAACATGATACAAACTTCACAATGATGTAAAAAATAAGCAAACAAATAAAAAAGAAAATATGATTTAAGATATTGAGGATATAATCATATTGTGATGGTGGTTATAATCTGGCAGGCCCACGGAAGCCTACAACATTTCCACCAAGTTCCTGGAAAAGCATCCTTTGTGGTTCAAAGGTCAAGTGATGACTTGATCATTCATAATAGAGGTCCATTTCCTTTTGCCTTAGTTCTCAAGAGAAGGAGTCTTAACCCAAGAAACTTCCATATCAATGGGATTGTAGTAGCTTCTCTAGTTTCAACATCAATCCCCATGTTGGATATTCTGGACTAATTATATTTTAATTCAAATTTAATATACTTTTAGTGATTAAGTTTTGAAAACTAAAGTACAAAGAAGTAAGGAAAACTATATTCTCATCATTGAAATAAATGTTAATCTTTTGAAAGAAAAGCACAACTGGGAATCTGAGTAAAATTAAAGATCTTCCATGCTTGAAAATTTTTTATAAATTTTAAATAATTTTAAAACTTAGAAAAAGCAAGCTGTAAAAAAAACTCCCTTATTCTACATTACTTTAGTGGTTTAATTACAGTTCTAATTGCTCATTTTGTTTGCCAAATAGACTAATATTCTAACCAGTTTGCACGTTACAGAAACCTCTACCACCTAAGAGAGGAGGAATGCTGCCTTTCTTGGTTCTGTGAACTGAATATTCTTTTCTCTGATTACCTCTGTTTGGGAATGTTTTTCTATCCTATTAAAAATTCACTCTAAAGTGATACTGCTATACTTCTGAACTCTCTTCTCACTCAAAGGTCCCAGAGCAAATACGTAATAGTAACGACTCTAGGTCAACTTAACTCATTGTTAAGTCTCTTCTAAAATGTTCTGACTTGTCTTTCCTAATAATTCACATGTACGTAATTTGTAATTCTACAAAACCTTACAGATTCTATGGGTATATACCTTCTTCCTAAAAGGTCATTTTTGGGTCTCTCCTTTGAAGCTTTTCAATACTTTTGAGTAGGAAAAAAATTAAAATTTAACATATGATTTCCTTCCCATCTCTGAAGCATTTAGAATAAGGCAGAGCACAAATTTGGTGTTCAGAAATACTATTTGCTCAATTACCTGACCCTATACTTTAAGAATAATAGCTTTAATTGCATTATTTATGTGCTAAGAATTAGAGCAATAAGCTTTCCCACAAAGTTAACATATTCTCATTTATTTTCATTATACAAAAACACAATAATAAAATGCACAGAAAGATTCCAAAAGACTATTTTAAATGGAAAAAAATGATCAATATTCTAGATTTTATCAGTGATAAACCTCAAATATTTTAAAATAGCATATCTGGTACTATGAATGAATCAATGACAGATGTCATATTTCAAGTTGGAAAACATGTTCTAGGATTCAAATCATGTTATCTGACTCCACAATAATAACTGCTCCTATACATAAATCTCATGCTTTCTAAGAATGTGACTGCCAATTTTGAAGAAAAACTGAAGACTCAACAATAGTGCTAAAGACCTTGTCTTCAAGTCCATTTAAGTGACCGTTTATGAAGTGACCTCAGTCAAGCTATTTGATTATCTGCAGTTATTCAAAAAACAGGCATAATAAGGGTGCCCTGGTCCAATTGTTCCTATTAGGTAACAGAAATATGATAGTATTTGTAAGGCAGTTGGCATATGATGAATATCCAACAAACACTTATTATTGTTACTAATACTGTCATATTATTGAGCATGTGTGTGTGTTTGTGTGTGTAGAAAAAGAACTCACAACTGAGTTTATGAAAGACATTTATAGAAAAAAGACTTGAAGAAATGAACCACCTCAGTGATCACTTAATGATTAACAAATAACAATTTATTTTTTAATCTTCATAATTTACTGTACTCTTTAGATTCCCCATGAACACAGATCACAAATATAACCATAAAATTTCAGTGTTACAGGCAGAAAAACTTTGTTCATGTGATTTAAAAATTACCAAAACTTAGTCTTTCTCATTGCTTTAGGAAACCTGATTAATTTTATCACAGAGTACTAAGGACAAATAAAAACATTACCCTCTGTAAGCTCCACTCAGGTTGCTTGCTAGTTCCATCATGTCCTATCCTTATCTTATATATCTTTCCAACGTTTCTTATTTCAACCTAAATAAAATGCAAAGAAAAAATGAGTAGATGTTTTAAATTAATTAAGCACACTGAAAAATTCTCTTATTTTCTGTCCCTCATATTGTTTAAACACACACACACACACACACACACTTTTTTTTTCTTTTTGTCAACAGAAAAACCTGCGATTTAGAAAGTTCTGTATCTGAAAATGATGTTGGCCTGAAGAAAATAAGTAACATTTTCAAAGTCATACACTGAGCATATGAAAAGGTAGGATACCAATCCAGTTTACATTTTTTTCAGTCTAGACCTAGACTGCAAGCTGGTATTCTCAAATTTGCTGTACTTTAGAAATCAGTTGGGGAGCTTCTAAAAACCTCAATTCTCAGATAGCACTCAGACAAAATAAACTAGAATCTCCAAAGGTTAAAAAAAAAGAAAGAAAAGGATTTTAAAGTTCCACCAGTTCCCCCAGTGATTCCAATATAAAAGCAAATGGAAAATGGTATGTTCCAAGATTGCACATGGGTAAATTTTTCCAGAAAAACATTGACAGGATTTATCATAAATATACCACAAGGCATGAGTAGTAACAGACTTTGTGGGTAGCCTCAGAATCTAACCATAACATAAAGATTCATAATTTTAAACAATCATCATCTTCACATAATCTTTTGAAATGTACATATTATATGACTGACAGTACATTTGAGCCAAAAATGCTTCTTCACTAAAAAGGTAATCATGGCAAAGGTATAATGACAAACTCTGGTTTGAAGATCTAGAAACTCTCTGAGTATGAGTGATTGTTAATTAATGCAGCTTTAAGTAACTTGGATTTCTGGTGTTTTGTGTTGGCCACAATCCTTCTCTAATCTCTAGCCAGTCTTAGAATACAGAAAAAAATGCTCTCCATGGAGAACAACTGCTGTTTAAAAGTGCATCAGGAAGCATTTAGCTTACAGTTAGTGTGGTATGATGAATTAGTGAAGTGGAATGTAACTATTTTAACTTGAATTTGCCCAAAACCTTGAAGAGCCAGGAAAGGCAGCCAATAATAAAATGATACAGCCCCAAGCTCTCTGACAGTAAATAAAAAAGACCTTTGAATGGACATTGATAGAAGTTCAAAACATGGCCACTGAAGATGCCCAGAAAATGATTTCATACCCATACAGGTCATCTGAACAACATCGAAAAGTACATGCAATACAAAAGGGTTTTCATTACCAGAAATTTCTTTAAATGCTTTATAATCTGGTTATAATTTGAGCTGAGGCTAACAGTTCATGGGGCCAGTTTCAAATCAATGACCTAAAACAAACTGTCTTTAAAAAAGCAATTTTCTTATACAACTTTCCTTTCTTTTATGAGAGGAAAAAATGTTTTCTTTGATAACGGCACTACACACTAGGATAACTTATGGGGATACTAATGGATCAGAGATTTATTTTATGTAGGGCACACACACTCATGCCCTTCTGTATTATAGTAATAGCTTTGAAATGTTCAAAGTACAATATTACAGTCAGTATTGTTTACCTGAAATTCATCCTCCTGTCTTGGAAGGAAGAGCTGTTTTGGATTGTCCTTGCTAAGACTTATAGGTCCAGTTACTCCTTCATCTCCATATACCCAGAGTGTGACATTGGCTTGAGTACCTGTGTTTCCTGTCAGCACTAATACCTTCCATTCATCTTCTGACATAACTGTCTCACTACTTTGGGAAAGTCTGATTTCTCCTATGGGAGAAAAAGAGCATTAGTGTCAGATCAGATGCATATCAGGGTGACAAAATCCTTTTTCACATGGAATTCAAGGATATCATAACATGTCAAGGGAGGGTGGGACAGGGCAGGAAGATACTGAACTACAAGTCTAGAGAGCTGATTTGTACTTGTCTCTCTACAGCAAGTGTGTGGCCATCTGAAATTGAATTAGTATAATAAGTTAAATTAGAATAATAAATATTTGAAAATATTTTACTTAACTTCAACCCTACACCATGGATTCATACTAGAATTTTCAGCTCTGTGTCCAACGATTTTTTTTTAATAAATCTACCTGCCTGGTTTACAGATTTTTAGAGACTACAACAATAATTAAGCAACAAAAGAAAAATGGTATTAAAATTTATTATCAAGTGAGATAAAAATAATAAATGAGGAGAGAGAAATATTTCTTCTGAAGTATTTCTGGAAAAGATCTGCTACAGGAGAATGAAGATTTGGAACTAAAGTTAGCATTGTCACAGATGGAAATGTTTCCATAAGAACAGATTAGTCTAAGAGGATAAGAACTGCAAGCAGCATCTTACAAGGCAGTTGCCATCAGCTAGCAATTCCCAAACAGCCGCTCTTGTATGCAAGAGACAGTTATGATGTCAAGTTACCAATTAAAATTATTGTCTTTTCTCTTTTTCTAACCTGTTGTCGCATCTAAGGAGCTACTGGGGCATGTGTGCTGACATTATTTTCTAAGTTACTCGCCTTGGTTATCTAGATTGCATCAACAAATGCATGTCTATTCTTAAGTACAAATATCAGCTAGCAACATTAGTGACTTTGATAATGAGATAAAGCTCTTCATTTGAAATGGGTAGAAGGAAACCAAGACTTGAGCCATCTTTAATTCTGTGGCTTAAAACTATAAGGAACCCTATGTAGCATATAGGTTGTTACCATTAAAGCATCAGCAAAGAAGACAACAAACTCAATGAAACAGTTATTTTCCTGCTACAGTAAACACTTTTTAAAACAAAAACTATGCAAAAGTGTGAATGCTAAAAAGAGAACTGACATTGATTTTTAGAAGTGCCTCATCTTTCCTCTTCTAGAGAATCTCTGCCACTGTAAGAGTGGTAATTTTTCCTCAGTTTCAATAATAAACATGAGAAAGAAGTTAACCAGTATGCCCAAATCATCTAATGAGTAAACAATGAAATAACTAACTCCAAAGCCTCCACATTTGAATAAGCTGGATGGGTATTCCACATTCCCCAGAACTCACACTTTTATACTGTGCTAAGTTTTGTCCTAACCACTTAACACATGCTATCATGTCAACCTTATTTAATGCTCATACTAATTCTATTAAACAGGTGAAGAAACTGGTGAACAAATAAGCAAACAAAATTAACAGATGTTAATTTTTCCAGTTACACAGATAGTTAAAAATAATAAGTTTCAAACCCAGGCAAAGCAAGTTTGAATCCCATGCCATTCTGGATGCATTATCATCAATAGTAGCTGACAATGGAAAAGGTCATAAACTTTGCCCAACAAAATTTTATAATAGAAATCTAATTTTCAATACTGAAATATTGTATGTGTACAATATTTCTAGTCAACCACAATGAAAAACCATGTAAACTCACTTGGAATTTCTTCAAATCCTAGACAAGAAAGAAGTCAGATTTCTTTACTAAAAAACTGAATAGCATATCAATGGGTCCCAAAGAGTAGCCAGTGATTAAAATCAGTAGAATATTCTTTAGAATTATGGCCAACAGGCATATGAAAAACAATGTTCAATATCCCTCATAATCTGAGAAATACAAATCAAAATCACAATGAGATACCACCTTACACCAGTGAGAATGACATATATCAAAAAAACTAACAACAATAAATGTTAGTGAGGATGCAGTGAAAAGGAACTATTCTACATTGCTGGTGGGAATGCAAAATGAAAAGCTGTATGGAGATTCTTCAGACTAATAAAAATGGAGCTACCATATGACCCAGCAACTCCACTCCTAGGGATCTACCCAAAGGATAAAAACATTAGCTCAAGAAGATACATGCCACACTACTTACAATAGGTAAGTCCTGGAAACAATCCAAATGCCCAAAACTAGATGACTGGATCAAGAACAAATGTTACAGGTACACACACACACACACACAAAATGGAATGCAAAAAGGTAAATTCATGCCATTTTCAGCACCATGGATGGAGCTGGAAGGATTATGCTTAGTGAAATAAGTAAGAAGGAAAGAAAAATATTGAATTGTTTCACTTTTAGGAGGAATTTAAGAGAACCAAATAAGACAGGGGGAAAAGTGTATTGTTACTACAATACAAAACATAACAACACAACAAAAACAAACAGAAAACTATAAACCAGAGAGATCCTACAGGAGAAGGGGACAGAGAGGAATCAGAAGGAGTAAGGAATGTGGGGGACTATGGTGATGATGGGTGGGGGGGAGGAGGGAAGAAAACATTGTTGTAAAATGAACAGTAATGTAAATATATATGTATAAGAATATTCTTTAGAAATATAATTATTAACTTAGTATCTTATAAATATCCTAGTTATTTAGTTATCATGCTTAGCCAATTTAAGAAAACTTACTTAGCTCCTATTATTTGCTGAGCATTATGTTAGGTTCATTGTTCTACAAATATTAACAGCAAAGATAAATAATGAGAGTCTCACCTTAGCAATAGACACAATTGCATGGAGAAGACGTATTTGAATTTCAAACATGTAGACACATTCATAGGAAACAAAAAATTACTGTGGATTTGTTACAAAGTCCAGGGTAAATTTTATGTATGGGGGAGACTGAGACAGGGAGGTCAGTGAAATATTAATGCTGAACAAGAACAAATAACAAGCACTACAGTGAGATCAAGAAACCACTGTTACCAGGTTTTAATTTCTTGGGAAATCTATGTGCAAGTACCATGAATGCACATATGTGGGTTTGTGTGTGTGTTTAGCTTATGTGTCCAAAGTAGTCTGCAAATAAGCTGATGATCTCTAAAGACTCTTCTCCCTGATATAACATTTTCACAAACACATTTGCACAAATATACATTGTCATTATACATAGTGTATTCATGTTACAAAACTTGATAACTCAATATAGAACAGAATAATTTTTTAATGTCAGTGCTTTTATCAATAAAAAAATTCACCTAATATCATGATTTTTGGGTAATGAACCAAAGTCCACTAGCTTCAGAACATAAATTTATCTATTTGAGAATCATAAATGACTTTTTTCTATTAAAGGTTTAAAATGTTCTGAATTGGGAGAATATTTAATGGGGAATCTACATTAATTGACACATACATTTGAAATATCCCTAAATAAAATCTATAGTGCCTAAAATTTATTCAAATAACTAAAAATTTTTCTTTATTGTGGTGACAGAACACCCTAATTTAACACTAAACATGTTGACTCAGTCGAAAATAAAGTTAAACTACCATTGTGATACTGGTCTTAAAATGTGCAGAAAGAAAAAATTACTTACATAAATAAGTAAAAATTAGCTGGTGTTAATAGCTTAGAGGTTAATCAAAGTTGAGACCAACTAAAAGGATAAATCATCATCAGTATGTAAGTCTGAAAGGATAAGTTGTATAAGCCTTCGTATATGATTTCAAGAAAGTGCTTCAGATAGCTACTTGTACTAAAGTATGAAGTAGAACTTAAAAATAAATGTCCCTTAAGATTTGATAGCATCAGGTCAAAAATGGTTACTTCTTAACTCTGATTTTTAAAAACAAAATTATCTGCAAAAATTAGTAAGTTAAAGCTTTCTGTAAGTCTCTTACAATGTAAAAATATCTATCTCTATAAAATTAACATGAGTGGAAATGAACCATCTAGCATTTGTGAAATTACAAGCATTATATTTGACATTAACTTTTATACATACATATATGATAATATACAAAGCTGCATTATTTTCAAATTCTCCTTTTTCACACATTGGAAGTTTACTGAAATCTGTACCAATAAATTCAAGAGAGAGAGAGAGGAGGCCCAACTGGGCCTGTTTTCCCAAGGAGTCAGGATGTTTCCCCTCTAATTCTGTCCTCATTTTGTAACAGGGTGGTCCCTAGGAAAAGGGGAAGTTCCAGATTCCCTGCCTCACCCAGGAGGAGGGTGAAGCTGAGCAGAGAAAAAGAAGAGAAGAAGAGAAGAGAAGAAAGGAAGGAAGCAGGATGGAGAACAAGGAGGAGACCTGAGGAAGCCACATGGAGCAGCAAGCCTGTGAGGAAGAAGCCATGCTTGTTTCCTGACCCTGGACTGTTTAAGGCAGATGTGGGTGAGATACCTGTAAGGAGGTGACTATGGCAGTGTTTATACTGATTTTGATTTTGCTCTTTTCCTCCCAGATTTGTCTGGCCATTTCTGACCCTTTTTCATGGATCGCAGCCAGAAGGTGCTTTAGTCTTGTGGCAGGCTTTCAGGCCTTGCTTTGGGCCAATCCCTTTTGGGTTGACTTTTGCCCACAAGGGGATGTAACTTCAGGTGTTTGATTTCGAAGTTATATTCTTTGTGTTCCGTATTGTATATTCACTGTATTAAAGTCCCTTTTCATTAAAATTTTATATGTTTTGTCTTGCGGCGGATGGCAGAACCCACTTAGAGCAGGCAGGTTTTGAGGCTTCAGGGGTGCCCCTCTCCCCCTTTCCTGAAACAGATTTTGTCCTGAAACAGATTTGGGGAGGCCTGTAACAATTTCTTCATTTTTTTCAGGGAAATCATGCTTTTCATGAACAGCTAGATCTTTTTTCTACATACCAAATAGCGCTACTTTACATACCACATAAAAGTGTGGGATTTCTGTCAACTGAGTTGAAAGTCATTATCCATGAACATTCCTGGTAAGCATCCCCCATAACCAAAATTAATAAGAATAACAGAGGACACCATAAAAGTAACAAAATGGTTATTAAATAACTTAAAAAGAAACAATTACTAAGGTCATAAGAAGAAAAATGAATGACAGTATATGGCATTATATGAACATAATCTATAACCTAGTAATTCCATTTATAAGAACTACTCTAAAGAAATAATATAAAATATGTATCCACTGAAAATTTAATTGAAAAAAATACTGAAAGTAATACACAGTAGTAATAGAAAAGGTAATTGGGTTATGGTATATCTATACAATGGATCATTTACAGTTATACAATTATTAAATTAATTAAAATTGTAATATTTAATATTATGAATAAAACTTATATTCCTCCTGCCATCTATTAACTGAAAGCATATCACAAAATTATATACACAAAATCTACTCTTACAAGAACAAATTTTCATTATATAGAGAAAAGATTTTCTCTAAATATTTTACTAGTCATAGAAAAGTATCTATTTCTAGAGGTTTCAGCTGCATGCTATTTTCAACAAGTCAAATTTCACTTGAGATGACTCTACCAGATTCAGAGGTCATTGCTTCCTGACACAAGGTCAAATTCTCCTTTTATGAACAATTTTAACTAAGCAAAAGTTTTTCATGCAGTGTGATTTGATACTAATCCATGACTTCATGACCTGACATGAAAATATAAACCAACGTCTAGTCCAATGGCTAGGGCAAGAGCTAATAATTTCTTTCCCTTCGGTTGATGGGATACTATCATATGGTTGTCAATAGCAGACTTCTATTTTCCATTACTATATACAAGAGAACTCACCCAACAATTAAACTTCAAAAAGCCCTTTTGTAAAGGCAATATTACAATTTATCAATCTCTTCCAGACAGGTCTTTTAAAAAATGGTTCAAAGACAGTGGTCTACTATTTCATTTTACCCAAAAATGACTAGACTCTGATCCACAGGATTTGTCAGATATCACTTATTATACTTCCCACTAAGATAGAGGATGACCAGAGAGAGAGAGCAAGAAAAAATATCAAGCAGACTAAGGGATAGAAAGATTCAAACAACTAAGGCCAAAGTATTTAATTCATATCTATTTCTTCACAAGTACAAGAAGATTATTTTTGTTATCACTGAGACTTTGGTAAAAATGCGCTGTTGATTATAAATACAAAATTATTGTATGTGATAGTCCTATAGAATGTCATATTTTCATATTATCTTCAAGTCATTGTCCTGCAGTAAACATTGAATTCAAAATAAACACATTTGTAAATATATGTTTTCTTTACAAAACTGTAACATAATAAAACAAAATTAACAACCTAAAAGCAGAAGTTCATGTGGTATATTGTAACCTGGAATATAAAAATTGCTTTTTTTTCTCAGGTGACCACAAAGAAGCAATGCACACAAACAAGCTAAAAGAATGACCAAAAAGCCATTGCTTACTTGTAGCTGAAGAAACTAAGGGACCCTCAGAGTTTGGCCTTGCTTCTTGATGGGTTTTTGAATCAATGATTTTTTCCTCCTCTTGGTTAGTTGGTGCAGACATACCCATTGGGTTTTCCCTGCCAACTGAAATTACATTTGAAAATATGTCATCTTCTCAAATTCATTTGTTTCTTCTCACCCTATATTCCACTATGCAAGTTTACATTATCTATTGTTTTCATTTCAATGCCTAGTCAATTATTTTGTTCTGTAATACATAGTTATGAGAAAATGACTTTTTATTCTTAGCAGCGGGCTCTTCCTGAATGGTATTCCTGTAAAATCTTTTCACAAGCAATAATTTAATACCACAGTAAGGATCAAATGACCTATTCAAGATGTTCTTCCTATAGATCCTACGTGGAAACTCCTTTGATAATCTGCTATTCTGCCCTCCTCAAACTGACTACAATGTCACTTAAACAATAATTCTTATGACCTTACTGAAATATGAGAATCAAAGAAATACATTTATATTTCTATAAATAATGAAATCATGAGCTGTTTTTCTGTCTTTTATTTATAAGTAAGTTATTTTAGTGTCTTGTTCAGAAATAGACATCACCAACCTAGTTAAGTAATGATTCCAATTTTATTGTATATACTCACATGTTCTATTTAGCATTTTAAAGTTTAAGACTTTTGTGTTTCATCTATAAAGATCAGGCATAGTGCAACATTTTTAAATGGAAGCAATCCATATGTGATTATCATATTTTAGAAATTATATTGGAGAAAAAATTATATAAGTGTCAGACTCCATGTAATAATAACAAAAACAACAATAATAATGAACAGCTACTTCTTAATACCAAAATTTCCATCAACTTAAAATGACTCATAAAATATGTTATCATTTGAAAAAATCATGATCTTATAGGCACAGTTAACAGGAATTCAAGTGACAAACCACCCATGAGCATATTGTAATTTATATCTTTCAAGTTTTAGAAGACATAATTTCAAATAATGTTAAAGTTTCTCATGCTGAGTCTCATAAAATATAAGTTTCCTCATAAAGTTCCTTTACAATGCAGTGCTTTAGCTGGTCAAAATTTATGAAGGAACTTTAAAATATTAGAAGGAAGAACAGAAAACACACACACAAACATATGTTTACTGAAGGATAAATGAATACTTGGTAAGGAAAAAAATGATGCATCCTACAGATTCATCCATAATCCATTCATCTTATAACAGACATAAGATACTTTAGGGGCCACAAAGGAAAAAACAATTAATATAGCAACAGAGAAATTACTAACACAAGGTCAGCTTAAGAAAGAGTAAAATGAGAATAATTATATCTCATCTCTCTTTGCTCCCTACACAGGTTTCTGAAGACAAAACATCACACTCAAAAAGGATGCCAATGTCTTTTTCTAATCACAATAATCACATTAATTATAGGAACTTCAGAGCCAAGATGATATTTCTGAGGACATTCCTATCCCTCTGTGTAGAAGAGTCAGTCCATTTTGCTTTGCGGATCAAGAGGCCACAGACAGAGACACAAAATCCAAGTACCAAATGACTCTCCAATGGATTCACCCTTTGAATTGAGTGACCCTTTCCAATGTACTCAGTTTTACAATTATAAATAAATGTGAAAATGTATTAGCCACAACATAAAATAAAAGCTATGATCAAGGTAAAAGAACCGTAATTGTTCAACTGGAAATATTGAGAGCTATGTAGTACACATATAGCTAGAACTAATCGACTAATTTATTCACTTTCAGAGAATGTATCATTATATCCTAGAGTTTAGTAGTATCAAGATCCACCAGACAAAAAGCCTTTAATTTGACAAAGTGAACTACTTAAAAACATTTGTTTTATAAATACCAACTATTTAAAACAAGCTAAAACTTACACAGTAGCAATGTATCATGTTATTACAGCCTGTGTGTTTTAAATTCATAAAGTCTACTATCTGAAACATGTTTTTTCATATTTTTCAAAATATGATTATTCAGGATCTAAGGAATTGGTCATATGACAGTACTTCATTAATATTTTGAAACCTGAATGATCCCAGCAGAATATTATGAAGCAAAATGAACTTTTCAAACATATTTTAATAAAAACTTTCATAAGACTTGAACCTGAAAAAAAATGCCTCTCATTATAATTAAAAAAAGTATCACCTGAACCACATCTTTAGTTCATCATTTTTTTCAGGTTACTAAAACCTTAAATCTTATGATTACTATATAGAAGTTGAGAACATAAATTGAGCTGGAATTATAGTAAGAGAGAGCAAATTTTTGTGCATAACTTAAGTCTGTGTTTTAAAACTTACAAAATTTGGACATAGTTCACTGTTTAACTAGATGTGTTAAAATAATACATTGAAGCTAATAGAAAGTCACAAGTTATATTTATCCAACATCCTTTAAACAATACCTAGCTCAGTGTCATCATCTTATTATATGAATTTATAAGCTAGTCCTAATATATAGAACAGTGGGAATGAACAGAACTTTGAAATAATCCTTATATTCAGATAATCCATGGAGAACCTTCCCCATTGGCTTGGTATAATAACTGATCTCTTTGCACTTTCTCTTATATAGTTCATATTACTATGACTATAAACTCATGAAGGAGAAATATAAAGGGTTTGTTGTAAAAACTAGGTAGCTCAGTTAAATAATAATGGAAAGAGTGATTTTTTATTATAAATTATCAGTACAAAGCTAATAAAGAAAATCCTAACCAAATATAAATGAAGAAACCAAACCACAGAAAAGTTATCTGATTTTTTTTTTTCCAGAATGAGTAAATGAGAATGAGGAAGGTATCTCTTATCTTCCAGGAATCTTCAGATCTAATGAGATTGTAAAAGACATACCAGAAAAAATTAGAGTAGAAATGAATTACATTGAAAATAGAGAAAAAAAACATGAAGCCAAAAACTGGCTCTTTGAAAATATCAATAAAATTGATGGCACTGTAGTCATACTAAAAACAGGAATTGACACAACATTAAAAATGCAAAAGGGGACAGCACTATATTCTATGGATACTAAAAATGATAATGAAGTACTGTTAAAAAATTCTCTATTCCCATAAATGATAAGAAGTAGTCAATCTGAATAGGCCTGTGTCAACTAAAGAAACTGAATCAATACTTATTACTTATCTTCTCAAACAGAAAGCATAAGGCCCAGAAGGCTAACTGGAGAATTTTAACTTTTGAGGAAGAAATCATAACAATTCTTGATAATCTCAGAGAATAGAAATAGAAGTAATCCTTCCTAATTCATTCTATAAGGTCAGTATTACCTAAATACCAAAACAAAACAAGGCATTGCAATAAAACTTCTGATCACTATCTCTGTATCTTCTTATATCACTTTAGGCAAATTGTGTTTTTTAAGGACTTGATCCATTTCATCTAGGTTATCTATCATTTATGGGAACAGCATTTTCATGTAGATGAAAAAAATCATCAAGATATTTGCAAATTGAATCTAACGAACTATAAAAAGAACACCAATATGTGATCAACTGGGATTTACCCTGGTAGAAAAAACTGACTCAATGTTCAAAAACCAACTAACGTAAGGTATTTTACGTAAGTGAAAATATTTGGTATTTTCAGAATGATGAATATATACCATCACATATTAGTTCAAACATACAGAAATTATACCAACTGAACTGTAATAAGCTATGACCTTTGAAAGATGACAACATATTAATATAGTTCATCCACTGTAACAAACACCAGGTAAGAGATGCTGCATTTCATGTGGGAGGCTATACATGCATAGGGCTGGAGATATTTGGGAAATCTCTGCACTTTTCCCTCAATTTTCCTGTAAATTTTAAACTGCTCAATAAATAAATACCTAAAATTTACAGTGTTAAACCCTTTATTTAATAATCATAACCATAGCACTATAGTACTTAATGACTACCAGACACAGTAAGCATCTCACATACTTGATAACTAAGGTAATTCTCATGTCACTGACTTAAGATACACCTTGTCCCCATTTTATGAAGGATGACCATTTGATTCACCTGCTGCAAGAGCTTACAGCTAGCAAGAGTTCAAACAGGCATGTGAACACTGGGAATCTGCCTCTCTACTCTGCTGTACCTCGTCTCTTGCTGTTTGGCGAGTTAGCCCAGTCAGTGAGTTGTGTTATCATAGACAGAACATATGATTGTAAGTCTTGATAACCAAGTACCATATAAGACATATCACATGCAGATGCTTCTAAGGTCAGGGCCATGGAATCAAGGGTACAGGCTTAGTGACTAGTTCCTTTCCCATAGGAAAGTCTCCACTGAAGTGTCTTAAAGTGCAACCTTATTATTTTCTTCTCACCATTACCCCTTCCCTTTTATTGATAAGGGTCCTGATAATTTCAATACCACTTCTTAAAAAAAAAGTTATGGGATTACAATGTTCTACCTCTGTATTGAAATAAAAGCAACTCAAAACTGAAGAATATAAAGGGAATTTTGTTTTTGGTATCAGGCAGGTTTACTCTAATATACAGATAGTCTAAGAAAGATTTCAAAAACTGATAATTTGAGGACTAGTTTGTCTTTCAATAAACAGTCTATTTCTCTTCACAAGACCATGAGTTCCTTAACACTTTCTACCTAATGGTCCTTCTGAAAATCTAAAGAAGGCCATAGTTTCTTCCCACCTCAAATGCACGCTTACATATGTAGACATCGTATAATACACAAGAAGGACTGGGTTGAGGACTACCTCCTCCCCCCACTACGGGTACCAAAATCTATGGATGCTCCAGTTCCTTACATAAAATAAAGTATTTGCAATAACCTAAATAATCTTTCCATGTACTTAAAATCATATCCATATACTTAAAATCATATCTAAATAAGTTCTAACACCTAATATCACTAATTGTTATACTGTATTGTTTAGGGAACAATAACAAGGAAAAAGGTCTATAAATGTTCAGAATAGATCTAACTACATAATACAAATTTTTTACCAGTGTTTAGTTGAATGAACAGATGTAGAATGTATGGATACAGTGGGCCCACTGTATCCATACATTATTATTCACTCAAAATATGTTTACTGCCAATTTCAATAGTTCACAGGTTCTAATAAAGTTATTACTATATTGCAATGTTATTATTCTCATTTACAAATAACAAAAGAGGGGTGTACAGATGTTAATGAACATAAAATAGGGACATACTACTAGCAGAGGAAAATAAAACCCAGACATTCTTGACATGAACTCTCATCTCATTCACTTTATTCAATGACATTCATTTGTTGAACAATCTCATTTGAATCAGGCATTATGCTACATCCTGGAGACATAATGGGAGCAATGCCATTCTATGGTTGGAGAAAGCCCTTTGAATGTCACAAGATAACTTTTAACTCAGTAGTCAGAAGGGACTTCAGGGGAGTATTTAAATAGCATAGTAGTTATCAAGAGGACAATACCAGCAGACTGTGCTTCAAAAAAGTTTTTTTTTATATATTCTATCAACTGAACATAATATGTATTCTCCACACTTAATGAAAATCCATTTTGGAGCCTCATTCTTCATTTTTGTGAGAAATAACCAGGTACCAAAATCTATTAATTTTCTGCTTAATATCCATTTAAAGATTTCATAGATCTTACAGTGGAAAGTTTTGGAAGGAAATTGGCAGCAATTTTTAAGAGCTCAAAGGGAAACTGTTTTGCTTAGACATTTGCATGTGTTTGAGTTCAAAAACCCTGGTCTTTCTTGTTGTGTTTCCTTTGCTATCTCACAAAATACTTCACTTCTGACAATTCTGATCACCAAATGTTTAGGGGTTTTTCCCACAATGAACAGTTAGTTCTACAACACCAGCTGGGTACCCTATAAGTTTACTCAATTTTGAAACTACCTGGAGATTGCTTTAGATTTCAGAAGTTAAACACCCTGTCCCATGAGAATGTTCCCCACTCGGATCTATCACAAGTACAGTTTGTGCTTCTGGCCAATCATCTATCAAAGAAGTTCCCAGGATCCTACATCAGGTTTGATTAATTTGTTGGAGCAGTTCACAGAACTCAGGGAAACCCTTACTTATATTTGCCAGTTTACTACAGTATAGTAAAGAAAATGACAAAGATAGTGAAAAGCCAGATGAAGTAACACTTAAGGTGAAGTCTGGAAGGATCATGAGCACAGGAGCTTATGTCCCTGTGGAATTGAGGTATGCCACCTGCATGGTACGTGAAAGTGTTAACTGATCTGGAAACTCCACAAACCTCACAAACCTTCTAGGATTTTATGAAGTCTTCTTAACATAGATACGATCATTTATTAATTACAATTCCAGTTCTCTCTTCTCCCTGAAAAATAGGCATGGGTTGAAAGTTCCAAGTCTCTAAACAAGGTTTGGTCTTTGTAGTAACCAATTCCATTTAGGACCACCCAGACTTGCCTCAATAGAACAAAAAACACTCCTAATGCTCTTACCATTACAGGAATTCTCGAGAATTCCTGACTGACTTTTGAACCCTGACAGTTCTACTGGGAAGATAAGAAAGATATTACTGTGATCTCATTACATGAGTTACATGGACTTAGAAGCCATAACTATCCAGTGTTAGTTAGCTTAATGAAGATTACACAGCTAGTAAGTGTAGAAGAAAATAATAATTTATTTTCTAGTAACAAATGTTGAGAATCTATAAAAAAAGATAATCTCTTTTCTATTTTTTTCTACTTGCTATACAAGTAGAAATAACATATATTGGCTAACATGGCCTTTTATTATCTCTTACATAGTTCCACAACTTGTTTTTTTTTTTTCTACTTGTCTCCTTTTCTAAGTATTGCTATCTCTTCTATCTCATCTTTTCTTTACTGTCCCTATCTTTGTATTATTTCTTTCTTCCTGTGCCCTTCTACATAGTTGCTGTCACTTGCTAACTATTTGTCACTGCTTTTCTTCTACTCCACTCTGTGTCTTTCTACTTTCTCAAGTCATCTGTTTCCTTTCAGAGCCACAGAGACAGATGGCATATCCATTTTATGGAGTAGGAGTGCCATTCTGTGCCAGCCTGTGGAAAACAGAGCGTGGAGGGAGTGGTGGTATTAGGTAGCAATAAATATGTATATATTTACTGACAAACACACACACACACACACACATATATATATATAAAACATATACATACACACATACATACATGTATACACAACTCTATATCTGGGTTTTATATATGTGTGTAATCCAGCAGAACTTTATATCTATATTTATATACAGAGTATTATAATATTTTTATACATAGACATATTTACCTAAGGAATGTTATATGTAACCATATATAGTGTAGATAAACTTTGATTAAAAAAATTAAATGGGTGAGACTAAGAAAATTATGCAGATCTTGAAACCAAACCCCTGGGACTATAGCAGACAAAAATTAAGTAAAAATCAAAGTATTGGGATAACTTAATAACACAACATAGTTCACTTGCTAACTTTTGCATTTCAGCAAATATATTCTAGGTTCAAATTGCTTAAAGTCCTTAGAGCCTATTTCAATTTGTTAGAGAACCTGAACTTAATTATAAAATAACCAGTTTAAGGCCCTCCCTGGTGGTGCAGCGGGTTAAAGCACAGCACTAAGAAGCTGAAACCACTTCTGCATGAGTTCAATTCCTGCCTGCCCTGGAGGTGACCACATGACGTGGCAGACCTCTCCTGACGCGCCTGCTGCTCCCCTCAGCAGTGTACTTCATCGATCTGCCAGTTCTGTTCTCCACTCTGTCTCTGGTGAAGCCTCTCACCGCCCCTGAGCCTCTGGCCTGTACCCCAGTTCTGTATGCACAAATAAATAAATCTTAAAAAAAAAAAAAACAGTTTAAAAATTCACATTTCTGTATCATCCTTAACACTTTTTTCCCAAATGCTATTTTTAATTCAGATTCCATTTGTTTGATATTTTTTCTATCTCCTTTTATAAACTGAGCCTCAAAAATGTATAGCATTGAAATTAGGAATGGTTCTACAGCACCATGCCTTCTTAGTATATATGAAGATAATCTTAAATAATACATACATAACACTCACAGATATTCACACACTCACAAATACATACACTTTAACACACACATTTACACACACAATTGTAAAACTATAAAGAACCTTATCTAGCAACAATATATAAGACATTTGAGAATTTGTGGCAAGTTGTCTTCATTATAGCTCCCCCCACCCCAGCTTTTAGAATAACAATAACAAAAAACATAATAGCAGAGATTTGCTTATTTAAAAATGTAATAAAATTATCAGACACTGTAAATAATTACAAAGTAAGTCAAATGTTAAGTATTTGAACGTAAACATACATTTGATGACTTGTGGAAAGAAGAAAACATTCCCATTCTTGGTATAAATAACTGGCTTCACCTGTCCATCTGACTGAAGTCCAACAAACAATCCTGGGTTCTTTGTGGATTCCAGGCTTACTGATGCATTTTCCAAGTTTTTCTTAATTTTAAAATGACAGTCAATATCTCCTGTACCCTACAATCGATATAATATGATTTTATAAATAGCAGCAAACACTGAAGGTCAGATATAAAACCAGTCACAAAAATGTAATCCTCTTAACAAATCTAAACCATTTTGCATAAGTTGCAATATGTGCTTCATCCTGTTACATAAGATATAGAAACAGAGACCTTGTATCTAGCTCTCAAAAGGACATATACCTTGGTGAAAGGATGCTGAATCACAGAGGGGCTTCAACTAAGCAGAGGGCAAGACATATTTTTCTTTTCTTCATTTCAGAATTTTCTACCTCTTTTGGTAAACAGAAAAGAACTAAAATGTGGAATTTCCCTTTCAGAAAATAAAATCATGACGGGAAGGAGGATAATTACTACTATATGTCCACTTACATTAAACATAAGTCAAGAATAGTGTCAGTTTACCACAAGGGATGCACGTCCTTCCCCCACAGGGTCCCTGGACTCTCCTATGACCCAGATTAGAAAAGAGAATGTGTACATCTCAGTAAGAGCATAGCCTGTTCAGCTGTTCAGCAAAGGATACCCAGGCAGTTGGTGTCTAGTTTTGGCTGTGGGGGGAACCACTGTACTATTCCCTATGCAATGTACACCCTCAGGGTTATCTGTGCATGCAGTGGAGGGCTCAGGGAAGTCATCCATCCTTATTCCCTCTATGACTTTTGGCCCATACCCAGAGTGCACAAAGTCGTGGGTAGCAACACTGAACCCAATTTTCCCAGAAGGATTTTTAGGTCTGCCTTTTTGAGTCAGTAAAGTTATAAGCCCGAAACTGATGAGATTTCTGGTGCTTGTTTCTCTGCATAGCAGCTGAATGTAGGAACTCAGGGCATAGTGCATAGAGACTTATTGCCAGGGAAATCCTAGACCATGGACTTCAGAGGGCATGGGTCACCACCCATGTACCCACCCCACTGTACAACCTCCACCCCGCACTCAAGAGTGCATTGAAATAAACTGCCAGTAACCATAGTGAATATGATGTACTCAGGTGTCCAGCCAGAGAGTCAGGGGAGGCACAGGTCTGAACCTAGAATGATTTCTGGTGTTTGCTTTCCAACACAGGAGAGCACAGGCCTTGTAAACATTCACAGCCTTGTTAGCAGAGTACTCCTAGACCCCAGGCTTCTGAGAGTTTAGGTCATTAAACACACATCACAGAGTTGTAAAGCAATGTTACACAATAAATAAATAAAAATAAAGTGCAGAAGTGATTTTTAAAATCTATTATATTCTCCATTCATTCTGGAATCCCCAAAGCTCCTAAATGATTAATTTGTAATTTGCATCTGTTAAGTTTCATTCACTGTTTTGTACAATTCTACAGGTTTTTACAAATGGCTATCTTGTACTTTACCATTATAGTAATAAACAGAATAATTTTACAGCTTTAAGGATTTTGAATGCCAATGTTAATTGCTGGTATATCTGAAAACAATTGACTTTTGTATACTGGAGGTTTATTATATTCTCTTATTAGTTCTGAAACATTTTCATTGATACTTTGGGCTTTATTTCTTCCTTCCATATCTGAATAGCTTGTTTGTTACTGTATTGTTTTCTTTATCTTTTCTTAACCTATTACTAGGACTTTTCTTACAATGTTGAATAGGGTGAGAATGGTCAACCATAGCTTCTTCCTGATATGTGGGGGAAAGCATACAAGTTATAAGTATTAACATGATGTTAGCTACATTTTTAAAAAACATTCTCCCAATTCTTTGTTTTCTGAGAATATTTTTTCATAAATGTGAAAAGTAGTTACTGATACCCACTGAGAATGATACAGCAGTATCTATAAAATTTGATTCAAATGCCTGGGTTTTGTTGTTACTTCTCAAAATTCAGGCCCATATCATTGCATGCCTGGGTTATCACAATCATGCTGAAGTGAGGATAACTTTTTTTAAAACCAGTGAATTTTCATTGCTAATTGTTACAAAGGTCTCTCACTTACTAAATCCATAATATTTACTACCTCATATGTAAGTAGAATTCAGCCTATGACAAGTCTTACTAAACTTGGTTTCCAAAGAGAAGGGTTTGAATAATTATATATCAAGAAAGAAATAATAAAGAATGTATTTTTTTCATTTCAAAGAATTTCCAAAAAAATTAGACTTTCTATACCTAGAGAATTGGACACCATAGAGTTTAAACAATAAAGCCATGGGAAATAGAGAAAATCTCTACCCCACAGGGAGAACAGCCCATCTGGTTTTGGGAGAAAGAACCATTAAATGGTCTATATAAGAAATTAGATAATCTGTTTAAACCCTACTTGGTATAACACCAAAAAAAGGTAGTAAAATGCTCAAATATTTAGGGTAGAATCTTAAAAAATGAGGGGCTATTCCAGGAAATGTAATTATTACTATTATATATTAGTATCACACGTCAGGGCAAACATGTAATAATAGAGCATCTGTTGCTTATCTGTCTTCATCTCTCTCCTCAACATGTGACTCCTCTCTTTCCTGAAAACCCCTAAATTACTATGCATTTCTTAGCTCAGGATTTATATCAACATTTTAACGCAGAATCTTTTAAATGTGTATCTAAGTGGATTCTCCATACATAAGTAATTAAACTTGTTTTGTTTCCTCCTAGATGTCTGTGTTATATTTTACCAGCCCAAGAACCCAAAGTGGAAGGCAGAAATTTCCTTTCCTGCCTGAGAGTAGAAACTCATAATTTTCAATCTCTAAAGTTATTTTTTGCTAGTTTCTAATCTCATAATTTTTTCATGTAGCATATTGTTCAGGTCTTTCCCTTCTTTTCTGATGACAGAAAATAGAATTATTTCTTCTAAAATTTGTTATTCCAGATGATGGAATTCAGGACACATTACCCCCAACTGTGACAATTTGGTATAAAGAGTATTTTAAAGTAGAGGAATTTCTAAAATGGCAAATGCAGAAAGGATTTTCTTACTTTCCATGAAATCATAAAACTCTCAACTGAAAGTATCCTCCCTATCCAAAGAGGAAAGGACCATCTTTATGTTAGACGGTAGAACAGTGCTGAGAGGAAATTGAATGAATCTACCTTGTTATTTCCCCCAGTTTATTATTTGTAGCTCATAAACTTTTTTTTGTCTGGTCACATTTTTCTACAACTCTATAAGCTTGATCAAGCCTAGCATTAAAATTACCATATTTCCATCCCGAGGTCATAATAAATTGACGAAGTTTCACCCAAGAAAGAAAAAAATTCTAGTAGAGAAAGTGTTCCCTTGCATGAATCTGCTTATTTTTATTTAATTGTTGTAGTGAAATACCATTGGCTTAATCATTGTTATAATCATGTAAATAACAGGATCTCATGCTTCAGATATGGCTACCATAATGAAACCACCATCAAAACACCCATCATCCACCACCATAGTCCTCTGTGCTCAAATTTCACTACTACTTCAGGTTTTCTTTCCCTTATGAAGCCACCCATGTCACCAAAAACCTGTATTAAATATCCTTTATGTCTGTCTTTTGTTAATGTCTTTTGCTGTATAGCTCAGAAGAGTAAGTTAGAGCAACAGGAAAAGGTAAAGGTAAAACAGGACAAGAATTTTTTTTTCCCCCAAAGAGGAAACTACTCCTGTCTCACCTACTCTGCTCAAATCAATATGCCTTTCCTAAGCCATCACATAAGCAGGTAAATTGTAATTTATTTTTGTTTTGTATTACTAATTTACTACTGTTCTCTAGATCACATAGATGTGCATATTTGTCTCTTTCAATAGACTTCAAGACACTGATGTCATATTTTAACCCTCCATTAAATAAAATAGGATAAAAAAATAAAATTTAACTAAATTTCAAAGCTATAAAATGTTACTGTTTCTCCCTTATTCCCACTTCTTTCCATTTAAAACTCCTTGCTTTCCCCTATCACAAATAAAATTAATTAATGAGATGGAGGTGAGACATAAAATATATGGGGTCTTCATGCAAAAAGGTAATGAATTTTGAGGGTTCCCTACATATTAACAATTACCAACAATTATGCATGGTCACACTACTGTAAGCTAAAACAATATCAAATGTCCATTTCCTTGTATTCCAAATGTCTCCTTTACAGAAGGGCACTTCTTAGTAACCATCACCAATAATATTTTAAGTCCTCACCCCTGTATTTGTTGAGCCAATTGTTAGGTCTTGTTGAAAAGTTTGGGGTATTTTAATAAAAAAGCTAATAAGAGAAGTGTCTTTTAAGTTCTTCTGCCCATTTCTTGACTGGATTGTTTACTTTATTTTTGTTGAGTCATGTGAGTTCTTTGTATATCTTTGTGATCAGTCCCTTATCCATTGTATGGAATACAAAGATTTTTTTTTTTTTTTTTTTTTTGCCCAGTCAGTAGGGAGTCTCTTTGTTTTGGTTAATAACTCTTTTTCTGTACAGAAGCTTTTCAGTTTGATGTAGTCCCAGCTGTTTATGTTGAATCTTTAAAGATGTCACTGAAAGGTATGTCTTGTAGTGTTTTACCTATATTTTCTTCTATATATTTTTATGGTTTCATGTGTCATGCCCAAAACTTTTATCCATTTTAAGTTGATTTTCATGCATGGGGAGGTAGTGGACTAGATTCATTCTTTTGTTTATGTTGTTCCAGTTTTTCCAAGCACCACTTATTGAACAGACTGCCCTGTACCATTGCATGCATACTCTTACTCATTTGCCAAAGATTAATTGTCCATATATTTGTGGATTTATTTCTGAGCTTTCTATTTGTTTCCATTGGTCTATGTATCTGTTTATGTTCTTGTATCATGTGGCTTTAATTATGTCTTTTTAGTATAATTTGAAGTTTAGAGGAAATACAAATGGCCAATGGGAATGTGCAAAAATATTCAATATCCCTTATAATCAGAGAACTGCCAGTCAAAATCACAATAAGACATTACATTACACTAGTAAGAATGGTGCATAACAATAAAACTAACAACAAATGTTGGCAAGGATATAGTGAAAAAAGAACTGCCCTACACTGCTGGT